AAAACAAGCAAGGCCGAAAGGAAGTACTGGAAGTGCTTGTCTCCTACTACAAATCAAAGAAATTGTCTGTGGGCCACATGTATTGCAATGTGGAAATAAGCCTCCTGTAAGTTGAGGACTGCGAACCAATCTCCGTTGTTCAGCGATGGTATAATAGTGGTTGGGGTCACCATCTTGAAATGTTGTTTCCGAAGGTATTGATTTAGGTTTTGTAGATCCAGAATGGGTCTCCATTCCTCGGTTTTTTTGTCAGTGAGGAAATAACGAGAATAAACCCCCTTTCCCCAGAACTCATTGAGTACTCTCTCTATTGCTCCAGTTTCGAGCAGACGATGGACCTCTTGCTTCAATAGGTCCTCGTGAGAGGGATCCCTGAAAAGGGATGGGGTGGGTGGGGTATTTGGAGGAATGGAGATGAATGGAATGGTACAATTTCTAAGACCCATCTGTCCAAGGTGATGCTGGCCCACTGATGGTAATATGGTCTTAGTCGATGGTGAAAGAGGAGGGGCGCATTGAACCTGTGCTGACAATGAGAGATTTGTGCACATCCTTGATGAAGCAGTCAAATTTTCTGTTTTGTGGAAGGCTGGTTGGTCAAGTGAGCGGAGTGGGGTTGCTTCTGCTGTGGTCGTTGTCTGAAGCATGGGTGTTCAAGAGTGTGGTGGTGTTGTCTGTGAAACATATAATTGAACCTTCGTGGGTAGGTATAATACCGTTTACACCTGTAGGGGGGTGTATACATCCCCAGAGTGTGAAGAGTGGTATGAGAGTCCTTCCCTGAATGAAGGACTTTGTCTGTCTTGATGGCGAAAAGTTTCCGTTTGTCGAACGGAAGGTCTTCGACTTTACTTTGGAGCTCCTTAGGAACTCCCTCCAACAAGAGCCATGAACATCTCCTCATGGCAATCCCTGTAGCAGTGGCACATGCAGCCGTATCTGCTACATCCAGGGTGATCTGGAGTGCAGCTCTGAATGAAGCGTATCCCTCCTGTACCACCGATTTCAACAGTGGTCTTTTCACCTCCGAAGGTGTTGCATGAGTTCTGCCAATTTCAAATAGTTATTGAAGTTATGGTTGGAAAGAAGGGCGGAATAATTTGCAATACGCAGCAACAACGTGGATGACGAGTAGACTTTTCTCCCGAAGATGTCTAATTTTTTGTTATCTTTGTCAGGGACGGTGTTCTTGTATTGCGGCGCTTTGGTTGTGTTTTGGGCCATGTCAACCACCAGCAAATTAGGTTGGGGGTGATTAAACAGAAACTCCAATCCTTTCAAGGGAACAAAGTACTTTTTATCCTCCTTTTTACTAATTGGTGGGGCAGATGTTGGAGGTTCCCAGATTTCCTCTGCAGCCTCCATTATCACCTCATCAGAGGGAAGCACGATCCTACCCCGATGCTGAGGCCGTACAATTTTCAGTAGACGATGTTGTTTTGTTAGAATCTGTCCTAACTGCACCTCTTGACTCTCTGCAACACGTTTAAATAGATCCTGAAATTGTTTCAGGTCATCTGGTGGAGGGATATCGCCCGGAATTACTGCCACAGCTGGTGAAGATGATGAGTGGTCCATTGGCAATGTATCCGGCTGAGGATCTTCTGGTTTGGACAACTGCCCTTCTTCGAGTTCCAATTGTTCTGGATGGATCGTTGGACTTTTTGGAGGTGGTGGAGGTGAGGGGAGGGGAAGGGAAAGA